TTTGGAAAGTGATTGAAAAACCATACCATGATTTCTGACCAGGAGACCCTGGTTCAAATTTCAACATGGTCAATTTATCAGGAAGGAAACTTCCTGATGTTATCAGTCTGGAGGGGGCAATTCCTGTGTGCAGCACCTTTGGAAAGTGATTGAAAAACCATACCATGATTTGACTCAAGCCTTGTGAGTGAAGTTGGGCAGACAGCTGTTCTAGCACAAAGTCACAAGTCATCATGACCGAGGATTTGAGCATACTGGCCTTGATCAGATTGTTGAATACACTCTTTCCCAGAAACTATAACTAAGGCCTGCTCAGCATAGTTGCAGTATAAACCACAAGTAGGCTCTGTGGATGTTGAACACAAATGTGTCTGAGCAAGCATCTTCAGTAGGGATTGGCTAGCCACCCCACTAGATGGTTATCCTCAAATACAAGTGGCCATGTATAGACATATAGATTTTTACAAGTTTACTAGCAATAGAAAATGTTGATAGATTTTAAATTTAAATACATTTACTTTTGTTTCCTTGAGCAATTTTTATCCACTGTCAGCCTGCTAAGCCAGTCACAGCTTCACCAGAGCTTCATTGGCCAGCATTACCTGTTTCCACCTCCCACAATGAGGATGAGGGTTGGGCTTTGGGAGGCAAAACGATAGAGTATCAAGTAGTTCAGACACCTCACTCATATGCCTATCAACCAAGAAGCCGTACGAGCTGGCTGAGGAGTGAGAGGCAGACCAAGAAGATGCTGGAGCAACTCAGTGGCAGACACTCTCAGAGCCCACGAGATATCTCTCCTCCAGGCCACTCACCTTGCCGATGACAGCACAAGTGGAAGGAAAAAGTAAACTAAAACTAAACATTTACAGTAATTTGTTTCCATTCATAACTAATTATTAAATAAATAAACTAAAGCAGACTTTAATAAAGAAAAAGTTGTTGAGAATCCCTGATCTAGTTATTAAATCAAGATAAACACCTTTTTAGTCCGATGAAGTGATAAACAACAAAATGTGTCACAGGAAAAAATTTTTCCATTTTGTCATTAATTTTCTTAAAATAGAAATATAAAAATAAAATATGAACTCAAAGTAAATTACATATAAACAAATATATATATAAATATATATATATATATATATATAAATATTATAAGTATAAGAAGTATAAGAAACTATACTCGCTCGGAAAACCTTCAGTATATTGATTTGCAAATAAACAAGCCAATGCCAGAGGGCAAAAAAAGGTATAAAAAAAAAAAAAAAGAACCAAGAACATGTATGTTAACCAAAAATAATCATCCAGCATACGAGTTCAAGGCCCAAAGAAAAAACCCCGATGCAAATATCCAAAACAACTAAATAAAATGCTCAATATAATGAGTAGAGCAGACCTAGTTAAACCTAGAGAGCCAGACAAACCTACCAAGGTTTCACCTAAGCGGATTGTCAGGGAGCTGGCCTTCCCTGACAATCCATTTAGGTGAAACCTTGGTAGGTTTGTCTGGCTCTCTAGGTTTAACTATATAAGAAAATAGAATTGCATGTATGTAGGTAACATTAAAACAATGCATGCAATTTTCTATAAAAATTAAATTAAATTACAATTCATTTCAATATGGAAACATCTTTTATATAAATTCTTGAAGTAATATATAACAAAGGATTATATTTTACCAAACTGAAAACTTAAACTGCTTAGAGTTAAGAAAATAAAAGTTGCATAGTCAGAATATGGGAAACATTAAAAACAATTTTTTCAATCCACAATTTTACCTGAAGGCAGAAGGATGATTCCTCTAATTCACAATTATTTTCATCAACATTTCCAGTGTTTTCCTTGGATAGATCTGGCGTAATGCTGGCCTCCAAAAGAAGAATATGTATGTCTTGAGGAAGAGAGAGTAAATCATCTTGAACAATGTTCCGATAAAAATGCCACTCTCTTAAAGGAACTGTCACCTAAAAAGGAAAAAGTGTTTAAAAATTATAATTACAGGAAATGGTATAAATATTGACTCCAAAGATTTGTAGAATTTCTATGATTCCTACTATTTTCATATAAATTCTGTTGTGAACTGGTATTTTAAATCTTTCTTAAGAAACATTTAAATATTTCTTTTCCATTTTTATTTACTGAGCACTGCACTGAATAGTTGTCTGCTTTATTGGTTTGCTAACCAATGTTCAATAGTATGCATTTTTTACTTGCAGTTTTATACTAAACCTTTCACATCCTAATCGAATATGGATGGACAAGAATATATCTGTAAATTTTCTTGTTTTTGTTTTAGATAATAATACTGCTAGGATATTTTTAGCTGACATGAAAAAAAAAAAAAAAAAAAAAAAAAAAATTTCAAAAGATTGTGCAAATGTCAACAATTAATATATTTACTGTGACGAGGCATACATGTGCATCTTATGACATATTGTATACTGCCTCTGACATGTACAAAGTCTGATCAAAAAGTATTGGCTCTGGTGCTATAAAAAGAAAAGTACAACACATATCAATCCAGCAGCTAATCTCCTTCAAATTAGTCCCCTCTTGAAGTTACATACTTTATCCAGCATCATTTCTGTTGATGGAAGCATTCCCAGAACACCATCCTTGGGAATAAGGAGAGTTGCCTTATTATTTTTATCACATCTCAGTTTTGAACATTCTCTTTTTGGAAAACTATATTTGTAATTTTGCTTGACATTTTTAAAATATAAAATGATAGTTCTAAAAAAGTGTTCCATAAAATCAGCCATGTTTAGTATTTCACCATAACACAAGACAGAAAATATTTTGCATTAGAATATGATATAGAATCCAAGAATATATCCACATACATACATATATAAGTAATAAGTCTACAACCTAATGATGAAGAAAAAAAAAAAAAAAAAAGAAAGTATATTGTGCACAAAAAATATTTATTTTTCAACATAATAATCTCCTTTCTTGACAGTGCACTCGGTCCAGTGCTGCTCCATAAATCAAATATTATACAGTGAAAGTTTCAAATCAAAATTCAGTCAAGCTTTGAACTTACTGATTCACCGAGGAGGAGGAGGCATAGTAGAGAAATGGGAGGAGGAGGCGGAGGCATAGTAGACAAATGGGAGGAGGAGGCGGAGGCATAGTAGACAAATGGGAGGAGGAGGCGGAGGCATAGTAGACAAATGGGAGGAGGAGGCGGAGGCATAGTAGACAAATGGGAGGAGGAGGAGGAGGCATAGTAGACAAATGGGAGGAGGAGGCGGAGGCATAGTAGACAAATGGGAGGAGGAGGCGGAGGCATAGTAGACAAATGGGAGGAGGAGGCATGATTTTTCTTTCTTTTACCAATCCTCGAGTGGTCTGGTAAATAGAGTAATCCCAGCACGGGGCAAGATGATAGATAAGGATTAATGACTGAAAATCCCTTTTGTTTTTGCAGCACCATTTGGAAGTTGGATTTATCCCTCCAACCAAGAGTGCAGGCTGATTGATTGTCCACGCCTATATGGAGTTATGGTATGAGGTAAGGTGTAAAGAGAGTTGGAGTTAAAGGGTGGCTTGCTTCCTCTGACCACTCTCAAAAGAGAGCTGGACAATCCCAAATTTAGAAAACCAATTCAGTAAATGTATTTTTATATATATATATAAATTCAGAAAAGGTTGCTACTTAGGGTAGAAGACAGACCCTACTCGAACCCACCCCTACTGAATACAGGACTCCATATAAGCTGGAAATTTTTTAACAGCACAGACACACGGAGCATTCCCCCACACTGCTACTGGAATCCACATCATTCACTGAGACCTCCTGACCAAGACTTTGTGCCAGACCTGAAGAGCAAAACTTAGAAATTTAAGTTTCTACTAAAAGAAGCTGCAAACTCCAAAGGGGATCCCAGTGGCATTATAACAAGAAGTGGGGAGTGTTAAAACTGCTGTATACAACAAATCATATATAAACCAAATCATTGTTACATTTTTAACACAAGTCTTTTATTTCAAAGCATTCTTTTTTTCTTGTGTAGCTCCCAAATTGTTGAACCATCTTCACTTCAGTTTGCTTCATCAGCGATCTTCACACTCTCTGAGAACAAAATACAATGTGGCAGAGGAGAGAATGCTCATGAACAGACAGACACTAGCTAGGTCAAGTGACAACGTCACATGCTAACAAGTAAAGAGTCAGCTAAATGGTAGCAATGGTGGTCTGAAGGAACTGGAGGATTAACAACTGAGTTTATTTTTCTACCTTTATGAATTGCTTTCTTTTTTTATCATTGAATCCTTATCTTATAATTTTATACTTGTGAAATAAATGTTTTTCCTTTAAAATTTTATTGCGGTGTTTGATGTTGTGATTTGCGCCTATTTTGACTTGCTATTCATACTAATGTTTTTTTGTTTGGCATAAGTACTTAGATTTGGCAGAGAATAAAATTTTAATAAAATACACTTTATATATATATATATATATATATATATATATATATATATATATATATATATATATGTTTATGTTTAAAAAATCAGGGGGTCCAATTAAAATATCGCGACCACGGTTCCAACCTAATGGTTATTTAAAAAGTCATTTTAAAAGTATCATCTGACCGTCAGGTCAAAACCATCGCCAGGTATCTTAATTGACCTCCTGATTTTTAAACTTAAAAGCTTTTACATATTTTTTTTTTCCCCCCTCACGTATACTGAGCACTTTTTAATACTACTGTTCTCTGGTCTGATTCAACTCTGACCATTAAACTATATATATATATATATATATATATATATATATATATAAAAAACACACACAATAAATAGAATAGGAATATAGATATGCAGTTAACTTACCACTGGATGGACAGAAACAATGTGCAAGTTATCATCCTGAACAACACGTGCCACAAACCTGGAGCTGAGGACATTTTTCAGGAAGGGAGACAACTCCCGTGTGACAGAAACTGGTTGCTGAAAAAGCAGACTAGACTTCTTGATAGAGTTCCCAAGGGCCCTCAGGTACATTTGGTTCTGTCGCCGATGGACATACCACTGTTTGATGGAGGTCAGGATATAAACCAAAGTAAGGAACATTTCAGCTCCACCCAGCCAGCTGTTCGGAGCATTCAGTTAATTTTTAAAACAGTAGTCTTTGGTGGTCAAACTTGAAGAATTTTGTCAATAACACAAATACGTTATTCCTTGAGAGAAATTACCTGAAATTGAAAATAAAACTGAATAAGTAAAAATTAATTTAATAAAACATTTTAGTATTATCATTGCTAGTTTTAACCTATGAAAATTTCAGTTTTCCCATTTTAATTTTCTAATGAATCTTGATTCTTAAATTAATGGTTGAATAAACTCATGACAAGCTCTATGACGACAAAAATATCCATAGAAATTCCCCTATTGCTTTGTTAAATATTTGAGCTTAGCAATTTTAACATAATATTACAATAACAATCATAAATACGAATTCTGACTGCTATTTTAAGAAGTAAGGGGGTACAAATGAAAAGATTTGAAACAGCTGTTAAACACTTCTATCTTTCGTTCTTTCTTTCATTTTCTCACTGAAACCAAATTTCCAGATGATCAAAATGAAATAGTCCATTATTTTCAAGGTATTGGCAGGGCATAACGGTCGTGTAAACTAATGAAGGGTGGAACAAGCACAATTATAATAAGAAAGTATGACATCACAACATCTTGTGATATGGTCGCTATGTGGTTGTAGGTCTGTGATTCTAACACCAAATTCTTTGTACAACTGGTGGTACAAAACAGGGTTTGGTGACCATCGTTGGTTGTATCAACATCATTCATTTCAACGGCTTTCTTAGGAATAAATATACTAAAGTTGGCCTATCTGTTCCTCTTGCAGAAAATCAAATTAGGTATCTTTTCACTGGGAAAAAAGGTTCTTCACATAATGTGAAACAGTATATTGTATAGAGTTGAAATTGCTTGCTTTTAATGTCGTTAGTATGGAAATTCTACTAACTACTTGTCAGTTTGGTTTGTTTGGTTTTTATGGCATATCAACACCTCAATTGGTTATTTAATGCCAACAAGATTTTTAGGAAAGGTTCGTATCAATATAATATGTATTCCTTGTCAGAAATCAGTTTATAGATCAGGTTTCATTGACATATTTTTATTTGGTTTGGTTTATTTTGTTTTATGCCATATCAACCTCAACGGGTTATTTAATGCCAACAAGATATTTATTGCTGGTAATAATTTTGTTCAAAAATGTATCGTTGGTAATATTTTGTTTTTCAAAAAAAAAAAAAAAAAAAAAGTTCTGCTGGTAATAATGTATTGCTAGTAATAATTTTTCCCCAAAAGTATTGTTGGTATTAAAATCTATTTTTATACTTTCATTGTGTTTTGACCCTTTTTGAGGGGTCAACTATTTGCACATAGCTGGGACCCTAACAGGTGCTACCACCCCGGGGTCAGGGTGGACCTGGAAGCACCAGCAATTAAGAAATGGTTCCATGCTCCTCAAAACCTCCTGATCAAAGGCCTTGCTGCTGGACGTAGTTTAACGTCTTACCCAGGATGCGGATGTAGTTTATAACTACTAGTCAGTGAAGAAGAGAGAGGGGAAATGATTGAGATAAAGACTTGCATTTATGTTTTGCTCACTCATTCCAAACAGTTTCAGCCCAGCATGTTCGTTAAAAGACCAAAATTCTCATTAAAAAATTTAAGGTAGAATCTCTTTTTTTAAAAAAAAGCGAAATGCCTCATGTTCACCTAAATGGATAATTTGTCATTTCCAACAATTTACAATCAAATAAAAAAAAAGTACTCAAACCATCTAATATTTACTTTAATAAATGAAATCACTTTCTTTAATCTTTTTTTTTTTCCTGTGATGTCTAATCAATCAAATTATCTCAAATCCTCCTAATAATTTCTATCACACACACACATTATATATATATATATATATATATATATATATATACACATATACCCAAGTATAGGATTGGCGTATATGGAATAAATTCCAATAACCAACAAATACTATTCTTAAAAAAGTGCTCAATGCAGAGTAGAGCAAATATAATTATCTATTTTATCTATATTAATTATCTATTTGAAAATTATAACATAAATATGTCATAAAATCACTACAAAAATAATGGCTATTTTTGTAGTGATATAACATATTTTTGTTATAATTTTCAAATAAATAATGTGTGTGTGTGTGTGTGTGTGTATATATATATATATATATATATATATATATATGCAATTTTTAGCGTGAAACACAGAGCCACAAACTCACATGAATCCAACTAAATAAATATATGTATGTATGTATGTATGTATGTGTGTGTGTGTGTGTGTGTGTGTGTGTGTGTCCAAGGTGATGTCAGAGATAATGGCTTGGATTAAGAAATCGTAGTGCTGGGTTTGAATTCTAGTCAAGTAGATCACTTATATGCAAATACTTTTGAGAAAAGTATGAATCTATCTCTTCTATCCCCCCACCCCAACAACACAAACAAACTTATCACAATATGATAAGTAAAACCATTCACTGACCCAATTACTCAAGCCTGTTTCACCCCGATACCTAAGACAATGCCTTCAAATCTCTACCATTTTCTTGTCTATTTTCGTTCTGGTGAGGATTTTCACATGTTGGGAAATCTGAATTCCAGTACATCAAATATTTACATATCTTCATTCAGAAATACAAAATATATTTCAAACTGCCGACACTGGAGTTTGAACACAGATCACCAGAGAGCAAACGCAGGCAATCCCATTTTGAATCAGTAGATCACGGGATGGTAAAGGAAATGTATATATGGGAACTAGCATGGTATCTAAATGATCACTATATGCATCACTATTCAGTGGTTACTTTTAGAGAGAGTATTATTAGTGCAAGTGTTATTTGAAGGTATTCAACACCAGCATTGTTCAACGGCATACTATAGTTGTATCTGCGATTACAAAGTGTCGACTATAACAAGCATTACAAAAGTGACAACAAGTGTTCGTTGACATCACAAAACAAACATATGGAGCCTGTTTGAGATTTTTTCAAATGTTGAACTTTAGGCATTTGAAATAAATGCCCTGATTTTATTTTAAACAGTGTGTATTATGTCTATCAGTTTGTGCATTCAAAAATATAATAAAGAAAATGTGTTCTCTTTACAAGAGAAACCACTGGCATGCTTTACCGCTCAGCTACAGAAAGTGTCACAACTCAGAAAGAATCTATTTTGTCTTTAAGGAAAGCACATTTCCTCATTCAGACTATTTTTCTCAAAAGCTTCGTATCCGAAACATAAACAAAGAAATTTAAAAAAAAAATTAATGATTTATTTTTAATCTAACACTTTTATTACTTCACATATTCTTATTAATAATGTAGGCACCAAGTGAGGAACAAACTCACTTGCTATTGCTTACAAGATTACCCTGTCAAACAGTGAAACAGTGCTGTTTCAGCTCATTATATATATATATATATATATATATATATATATATATATATATAACAACAGAGAAAAGCTTAAGGAGTGAATGTAAAGTGAAAAAAAAATGATGAAAAGGACAAATAATTGTGATATTTTACATGTATGCACATGCACACAGACAGGCGCAAACACAGATTATGGAAAAAAAAAAAATTGCCCCAATGAACAGTGAATATAAAATAGAAATTTCAAGAAGTATAAGCACCCTTGACAAGCAGATGAAGTGATTCCTGGATATTCTGTCTACAAAATTCTGGAGTTGGGATGCTGAAGGTAACATCAATCAGTTAAATGACAATTTTTTTTTACTTTATATATAGGGTTCAATGGGTAAATTGTCGCCATTTTATATTTTTAATTTCACACATGCGTGTTGTTTTTGTCAACTTCACAGTATAGTAGGATCAGTTGGGCACCATCTGTGAGAAATTATTTTTGACAGCAACTCAGTCCTTCAAGCCAAACATTTGCACATGATTCACTTATAGTGATGAAAGCTTGTGCAAAACCAGGCACACTTTTTGTAAAAATCCAACAAAGAAAACTGATGCACATAGTGTGTACCACAAGATCACCAAATGACTGTCCTCAGATTTTGAATTCAGAGTTGTGTTTCTCCTAGCCTGGTTGCCAACCATAGCTATAGGGCCCAGTCCGCCCTGGTAGTTATCCATGGTTTCTTTTTTGTGTGTGTTGTGGGTGATTGGGGTGGGGGGGGTAGAAGAGATAGATTCATACCTTTCTGAAAGGCATATAAGTGATGAACTTGACTAGAATTCAAACTCAGTACTCTGATTTCTCAATCCAAGCCATTATCTCTGACCCCACTATATGATACACACACATATATATATATATATATATTTTGGAAGCATGTTTTCATTAAAATAGGTCTCATTAAATAATTTAGACATTTAGCATAGTGCAAGTTTTTAAGATCAGTTTTTTTATGCAAAAATAAGTTGGGGTACTATATACAAGTAATCTTTTCTTTTTTTTTTTTTGAAGAGGTTAAAAATCATACAAAAGTACGTATCTGTACCTTCATAATCAGATATTTTACAGTAAGTAGTTTTTTTTTCACCATTTTGAGGTAGCTTTGTACCAGAAAGATAAAGACCCTGCCCAGTACTGCGATGTTCAACTATGATAAGCCCACTAATATTGATCAGAAACTAGGGTTGCATTATACATGAGTTACGAGAAAAAAAAAAAAAAAAAAAAAAAAAAAAAATCAGGATTAATTTCACAAAAGCATTTAGTGATCGTACTATACATAAAATTGGCTTATACCCGATAATATATGGTACATCATACACATGAGAAAAAGAAACAACTGCAAGAGTAAGTACAGTGGCTTTTGTGTATACCAAAGAACCCATAAAAAATGAATATGTGTTTGTAGGATGGAAAATAGTATCCTAAACGAAAATGAAGACAGTGGGACATAGCGGAAAATTTTAGTACAGAGGCATTTCACCAGAACAGTGTATGCTCTATTTGGCTTCC